GGGTTGTTGAGCTCCATCTAGCCGAAGCTGCTGCTTATAAGGCGCCAGTTTTTTGGCTTTGCCCATTCTCTGGCTTGTAGCTGGACTTAGTGGCCAGTGGATATTTAAAACATGCCGCGGAAGCATTCTATAGATAATGGGAGCTATGTCACGCTTTGGAACATAATTTACGGATATAAACATTTATATACATTACGTATTTTAGAAGCCCCAAAGAAGGCATAAATAAAAAGATCAGAGGAATATTCAGCGCTAATCTTGGACGATAATGACTCGCCACAACTTCCTATCCTTCGTAGCTCTAAGCAATATTTCTTCCATTACTATCCTGTCCAATCCCACTGTACATTTACACAATATCACTAGATAGGTTACTGAACGTTTCTTTTTGTCTCTTTTACATTCAGTATGTCGTGTGAGTGTCAAATTCGCCGAGCTCTCTTTTCTCATTATATGTTCTAGAAATGTCAACTATATATTTTCTGATATTAAGCATAACTGTCCTTTTCGTTTTCATCTTTCTTAAAACTTCCTCGTTCATCGTATTCTTAGAATCCTTCTGTAGAACCATATGTCTATTATCTCTCGTGCCCTTTTTATCTGTGAGGGTATAGAAAGATTCGCATAATAGAACAGTTCAGCATCCTTTCTTTGTTTCTAAGGAAATTTTCCTGTTCTCTAATACTTTTTGAAAGGAATTCTTTTGCTATTCCAATGCACCTTTGGCTTTCTGCATGCAACACATTTTCCATTTTCTGTTAAACACTTCCCCGATAATAAAAAAAAAACGAAGAAAAAGCTTTCCTTGCTTGGATTAGATATCACTAAAGAATACTGAGCTGTTACGTGACATCTGTCCTTCTTTACGGCAGCGAATGTTGGACGATTTCCTCAAACATGAAGAAGAGACTCGAGGCGACGGAGATGTAATTCTACAGAAGGATGCTAAGGATATCATGGACCGAGCGTGTGAGCAACGATGAGATCTTAGAGAAGTTGCAAACAAGGAGGAGGCTTATACTTAACACCAGGAAGAGGCAGCTGAAGTTTCTGGGACACATAATGAGGAAGGAGGGCCTGGAGAATCTGATACTCACGGGTCGAATACAGGGAAAGAGAGACAAGGGAAAACAACGCGTGGCATATCTGGCGGGCTTAAGCAAGTGGATGACAGAACGTGGTCGAGGGGAGGAAGCAGAGGAAAGGAACTTTTTGAGAGCTGCAAGGGAAGGAGGAAGGTGGAGCGTCATGATCGCCCACGCCCTGAAAGGACATGGCACATAAAAAGAAACATTCCTATCTCGCATCGTGGGCTGTCCCCTAACGTTCTTATTAACACTCACACAATGTATCTTCTTACAAATTATGGTTAGCTCTTTCTTAAAGCTTTTCTTTACGACCTCATTTGTAAGTCCCTTCATTTTTCTTTCTGTGTCTGCCATCATCATAGTCGAGCACTGATGAGAAATAGACCTCCTATTTCGTTATCCGTCATACCTTCAATGATAATAATTCTAAAATTCAACGTTTATATTTAATTAGAAGATTTAAAAAAAAACTAAACAATTTACACTTACCTATAGTGAGAAGTAAGTTTCATTCGGACAATGTCTTCCCAAAAACTACTGCTTTATGCAACAGTCTCCTGGCTAGATGTCCTTCCCAATCACTACAACCCTTACCTTTTCAGATCTAGGGTTACATTCGCCGAGCTCTCTTTTCTCATTATATGTTCTAGAAAAAGTCAACTATATATTTTCTGATATTAAACACAATTGTCCTTTTCGTTTTCTTCTTTCTTAAAACTTCCTCGTTGCTCACATATTCCGTTCATGGTATTCTTAGAATCCTTCTGCAGAACCATATGCCTATTATCTCTCGTGTCCTTTTTATCTGTGAGGAATCTAAATTGTACCTTATAACTAGAATGGCTTATGGATATATCACATTGAGACACAGGTTCCCGTACGATTACTGGAGTTAAGCAAAATCGAACCTGGTCAGTAACTAGATATGTGACCGCTTGGGTATAATACAGGTTCTGTCTAGTTATTTTCCAAGCGTAGCTTAGATGTGGCACAAAGCTGAAAAGAAGTGTACACCCAGTGAGGACCGAAGTCACTAGTCAGTCATAAAATGACCTAGCAAGACAAACTTCCCAACCATTACACCACGTCGAAGTCCCCAAGCAGGTTCGGTCTATTTGTTTGTTCGGGTGGTGTAATTGATAATTGCTCGGAATTGGAAATCGGAGAGCCGAGTTCCAGTTTCATTTGGGTTTCTTTCACTTGGGAAATGTATGAATTCACCTTCTCCCCTCAGCTATGGGTTAATTAGTAAGACTTGTATCACTAAAACCATTCATATCTAAAAAAATATCTTACAATCTAAAAATATTTCCTGGCTTTAAATAACCTTGAAACGGTTGATAAACCGTCGAAAACAATTTAATCAATCAATATATCTTGAGTAGTTTTGGGGCCTTGTATATAAAATAACTCTCAAGTAAACAGGATGAAGTGTCTTAACCACAAAGCAATGGTTATCAGTCTAGATTTGGAAACCATTACAAATAAGTTCTAATCACGCTGGGTTCTGCTCTATTGGTAACTTGTCCTAGACTTGATACCCACCAACCTGTATTAGGCAAATAATTGTACCAACACACGAAAATGGACGAATAGGTAAAATCATTGTGCTTATGATTCTCTTCATCATCATCCTCGGTGACTTGACTGCTTCAATCGTCGGGAGACTCAAGGACAGAAGAAACAGAGAAACTCCACGACAATGATCTGTTAGCAGTGACTCTCAGAAGTTCCGGCATTGTCATGTCCATCTACTCTTTGATGTCTAACTAGCACTTGTGTTGCCGTCCCAGCTTGCGTTGCCGTCCCAGCTTGCGTTTGCCATCAGTGGTACCTTGTATGATGGTCTTGCAGAGGCTGTTATACCGTGTGACGTGGCCAAACCATAACATCTTCCGACGCTTAATAGTGGCGAGGAGAGATTCTCGTCGGCTCAAGAACCTTTTGACCGTGTTCTGTACATAGTCATTGGTTTTGTGCTCCCAGTAAGAGATGGGGCGAGATCTTTCTCAAATATTTGTTGTCGAACGCCCAGATCCTTTTCCCTGCATCAACTAGGTGTATCCAAGTCTCAGACAGGTAGAGGAAGATGGATTCGACCAGCAATTTGTAGAGCATGAGCTTGTATGGAAGCTTATGTTGCATTTCCATATACGTTCCATTCTGGCAACCGCTGCTGTGGCGACCCGTGTGCGGATTTCTGGGTTGCAGGTGCCATTTTCGACAGGGATACTCCAAAGTATTTGAAGCTGAACACTTCCTCCAGTGGTTCGCCGTCCATGGAGATCCTGGCACTTGTGTTGTTTGTGCTATTCACCATTACTTTGGATTTCTCTGTGTTAAGTTCCTTTCCATATTCCATACTTGCTTATTGTAAAGGTAAAAATTGTTTGTATATATATATTCGGCAGCATAGAATCTTTTGATAAAAAGGGTGTCTAGTGTCACTTCGTTGTGGAACGGCCTTGAGTAATGACGTTCATTAGACATGGATACTACGCCTGAGTTACGTTTAAAGTAGCGATCACTGATGGAATTTTTGGTGCTCGAAGGCTGCGCGCCAATTTAAATTGGAAAACGTATGAAAGTAATTAGACATTATAAGAAGTCTAACAACGCTTTCAGTAGAATCAAGTCTGAAATGGGAACTTTTCTTTTGCATCACGTCAAGGCAAACCCACATTGCAATCAAAAAATATTTCAGATTGCTCAAAGCCTGATATTCCCCACTAAGGCACAGGCTTATTGGAATAGTAAAATATACCTTCCAAAATAATAAATAACAGGAAAATATCCTTAGAAAAAAAGAAGAGTGCTCACCTGCTATGTAATAACAGCCCTAATATGTCAGTGAATTCATGATACAGAAAGATCCTGCTTTATTCTGTTTTTATGGTTTTCACTCCTTTTGGAAATTGTAGAATGTAAAAAAAAATGTGATAAAAAAAAAAATCAAGAAAAATACTTAAAAATGAATAATAATGAAAAAACATTTTGCTTTGACGATATAAATTCAAGCATGCTACTAGATTGGCAATTAGGTCCCACCGTTTTACTTTTGAACTAGCTAGATACAAACACCATTTTTATTTTAAGTTTCCTTTCACGGACTTTTCACCTGTAGAATTCCCATCTTCTAGTTTATTGCTTTTCTGACACCTAGACCCTTCAAAAATTTAAATGCAGCGCCAATCGCTATCTTCTGTCTTCTGTTTGTTGATTTACTGTCCTTTTTCTCACTTCCCCTCACTAAAGTCTTCTGGTTCTCTTTCACTCCCTGTAACCTCCTGTGTCCTAGTGGCATTATCTCCCTGCTTGGGGTGAGACGATTAAAAAAAAAAAAAAAAAAAAAAAAAAAAAAAAAAAAACATTAAGAAATTTATACAGCTTAATATTAGCCATGTTAATATACCATTCTTTCTATGAATATCATAAATTTTAAATTGTATGATTTTTATAAATTCCTTACGTCTTTTCTAACGTGCTTGTTGGATTCCGCAACCAATTTATACACCGTTGCATCACAACAACAATAAAAATTAAAAAAAAAAACAAAAACAAACAAACGCAAAAAATTATTCGCCTAATAAAAGAGCAATTCACAGCTTGTGTTCACCAATGGTTCAGATGTGTGAAAGCGCAAAACGTGACACATATGCTATGCGAAGGATCACGTGTTTAAACCTTGAAATGTCATAGAAAGTCATGCAGCCAACTCAGCAGGTAGCTGATTGGACATTGGCCAATGAATCGATATAAATGAAAAAAAAATCAATGAAATAAAAAGAAAAAAGGAACTTATTGAGGGAATCAATCGAAATGATATCAGCTCCCTAAAGCACCGCTAGTTTACTATTTTTATAGAACTGTATCCCTTTTATTTAATCGATGTAAACTTCCAGAGCTAACAACATGGCTTATAGCAAACTTGGGTTCTTTGTATGCAAATTACTGTCAGAGGTAAGAAGTGGGAAAAAAACACGATTATATACAACTGAGTCAGCAGGTGATGGTGGGGGGGGTCTGCATTATTTCTTTTGTTTCTGTTTATTTTCATTTGAATAAATACAAATATATTGTGCATTTTTTTTTATTGCAATCAATATTCTGGTAGATACGATACGTAGAGCCTTTTTTCTTTCGTTCTCTTATTTACGATACACAAATTCTTTCTTTCCTTCTTTCTTTCTTTTTTTCTTTCTTTCTTTATGTTCACGTTACATAGAGTTTTTCTTTCTCTCATTCATAACACATTGATTCTTTCTTTTTTCTCTAATTCCATGTACATGGCCTTTCTTTCTATCTTTCTTTTTTTATTCTAGTTACATAGTATTCTTTCTTTCTCTTATTCATGATACATATATTTTCTTTTCCTTTTTTTTCTTTCTTTCTCTCTTTCGTTCTTTTATGAATGCCACTTTGATTCATTTTTCTCGTGTTCAATATACATAAATTCTTTCTTTCTTTTTCTCATTCAAGTTAATCGTTTTCTTTCTTTCTTTCTTTCTTTCTTTCTTTCTTTCTTTCTTAGCACGCTGATTCTTTCTTTTATCCTTGATACATTGATTCTTTCTTTCTTTCTTTCTTTCTTTCTTTATTTCATGAATGTCACATTGATTTTTTCATTTTTTTTCTCGTGTTCAATATACATAAATTCTTTCTTTCTTTCTTTCTTTCTTTCTTTCTTTCTTTCTTTCTTCCCTAACACATTGATTCTTTCTTTTATTCTTGATACATTAATTCTTTTTTTCGTTCTTTTGCAATCTCAACCAGTTTGCTAACCGAACATTATCGCTCATATGGTTGCAGTAGTTCTAGCCAGCCGTATTCCATTAAGCGGTGAAAGACGGAGAAAGAGTTGGGTGTGGCCATATCGTGAATATCCCTGGAACTCATTCGCATCAGAAGCTAACAATTCGTTGCAGATGTCCAATCAATTGACAAACTTATGAAACATGATATTAAAAAGAAATAATGTAAACATCTAAAACCCAGCGAATAATTTATTTGCAAGTCAATGCACGGCGACGAGTGGATTTATTAACCTTTACTCCCACTGACTTGTGCTCATACAAACGCAAAAATTTAACGGAAAACTGACGCAAACCAAGTCTGATATAAATAGGTCTCTTTGGAAGATTGTATTGTGCTTTGTTAAGAATGCGTATGCTGATCACAGAATGCGTCGTATTTTACTTGACTCGTATATTAAAATTTTAAAATTTCATACTTGTAACGGAAGCAGAGGCGTTACTTATTTTCTGTACGGTTTGCTCGCTTAGACAGGGTGTATGAAATAAGTCATAATCATTGAATGGTGATTCTGGCTGCCATTTATATTCAACTAATTCTAATCGTAACGAAGATATTGCTCACGGCTAAAGCAGTGGTCTAACGACAATGAATTTAGAGGGCTGGTTTTACTTATATTCATTGGGTCCATTTATGATTGATTGACTTGTTTTTTACGGCTTATCAACCCATTGTAAGTTATTTAAAGCTAGACAATATTTTTAGATTGTAAAAAAGTTTTTGGAGATGATTTTAATGATACAAATCCTACTAATAAGGATTTGCGAACATATGTTTATACGGACTTTTGTCCTTGTTTTGGAGTGAAGAACCCGTCTCCAAAGTTAGTAAAATATATATATATATATATATATATATATATATATATATATATATATATATATATATATACTGACTTTACGTCCTGAGTAAGACGATAAATTACATCCGAGAGCAAGGCCTTTGATTACTAGGTTTTGAGGAGCGTGGAACCACCTCTTAATTGGTATTGTTCTCAGATTTCCCCTGACCCGGGGTGGTAGCACCTGTTAAGGTGACAGCTATGAGCAGATAGTTAACCCCCACAAAATGGGTCAAAACACTATGAAAGTGTAAAATAGGTGTTAGTACCAGTAATACTTTTTGGGAAAAATTATTACCAGCAGTACATTTTTGAAAAGAAAAATTATTATCAGCAATACATTTTTGAAAAAAAAAATATTACCAGCAATAAAAATCTTGTCGGCATTAAATAACCCATTAAGGGTAGTATGTCGTCAAACGAGACAAACTAAATCTACTAACTTTAGTGCTGACACTCAACGCACCTCGTTTGGCTCTAGCCATTTTTGGCCTAACCAACAATTTCGAGCGATAAAGAAAAACTGATGATTAAAAATAGATCTTTGCAGTTTATGAGCTGAAATTTGCACAGTCTTGTGTATACCTATTTACACCCCACCATTTAGGACTTCATCTGGCGAAATTTATGTTTACGCTGATGCGACGACACATGCACAGAAAGTAAATTTGATTTTATTGTAGTTTAATATATGTTTTACGTACGTAATATATCCGATTTCATTCAGATTCTTTATTTTTGTTTGTTTCCATCAATTTTGTATACATATATATGCATTTTGTATGCATATATACATACATATATATATGTTTGTGTGTGTTTGCGTGTCTGTGTGTATCATACTTATTATAAAACCCAGGTTGTGTGTCTGTTAGTTTATATATTAGATCGGATTTCCTACATTTTTCAACCGATTTCAACAAAACTTCACAGAACTACGTAAACTTACCTTGCGGTAGTTCTGACAGCGCCAAAAATTGGAAAAACACAATTGTTTTTGGCCGAAATCAATTTGAAAACACGATTAAGAGACATCGCTATCGTGAGAATGAAAGGAGGACAACTCATATCGAGTTATATTTATTATAAAACCCAGGTTGTGTGTGTGTGTGTGTGTTCGTTTATATATGGGATCGGATTTCCTACATTTTTCAACCGATTTCAACAAAACTTCACATTTTGGCAGGTAATGTTTCTTATTGTCTTGCACACTTTTTTCTTTAATTTTACATTCAGAATACTTTAAAAATTCCATTTACAAGACAATTGTTTATTATAAAATTCTATTCAATCGGTAGACTCATAACGATTGAAAACAATGTTTTTGTTTGAGTTTGACCAATTCGTAAAAAAAACAAACCAAAAAAAACTAATTAAGACATGCGTGTCCGTCAACCTTAAACAATAATCTTTGTCAATTTTATTTTTCAGTCTTTATAATGGTTGATACTTGATCTATCTCTTACTGTTACATCCTCTACTGTTAGTGTATAGATAATATTAGTGGTATATATATATATATATATATATATATATATATATATATATATATATATATATATATATATATATCAGGTCATCCCATATGTTCTGTTCGAATTTTGAATAAAGAAAACAAGTGACCAAATGTTACATTTAATTACAGATTCAATCAACAATGTATTTCCCTGATTATCTATGACTTCCTTCCATCTATTGACAAGCTTACTAATTCCATTACTGTAAAATTCTTTTGGCTTTGATTCGAAGAAATCACAAATGTCAGTTTTAACTTCTTCCTGTGTTACAAAAGCTGTTTCTTCCAAATGATTCTGTAAGCTACGAAACAAATGGTAGTCTGAAGGAGCATGATCGGGGGAATAAGGTGGATGAGGAATTTTCCCCCAACCAAGTTCTTCGATTTTTTGTGACGTGATTCTTGCTGTGTGGGGTCGCGCATTATTCTGATGAAACATCACCCCTTTTCGATTCACTAGAGCAGGTCTTTTTTCCTCAAAGCTTGATTCAAACACTCTAATTTCTGACAGTATATTTGAGCATTAATTGCTGCATTAGGTGGTAAGAATTCAAAGTGGATTATTCCTTGGCGATCCCACCAGATTGAAAGAAGAACCTTTTGCCCATGAAGTTCCATTCTCGGCTGTGGCTGGGGTCCTTCGACATTTCGATAAAAGATCCATTTTTCGTCGCCAGTTACAAGTCTATCCTAAAAAGGTGAAACAAGTTGGCAAGAATGGAGAGAAGAGCAGATGTCAACTTGGGATTTGAGGTTGTTTTCAGACAATGAGGCACCCATTTTCCAAGTTTAGGAACTTTTCCAAGTTGTTGAAGATGACAGTTGTATGGTTTGAACTGAGAACCACTGCCAATTCCTTAACTGATAAAGCAAGATTTTCTTCAAGGGCTGCTTCAAGAAGCTTTTCATCAAACACAACTAGACGTCCGGTTCGACCTTCATCTTCAAGGGTGAAATCTCCACCTCTGAATTTTGCAAACCATCTTCTGCAAGTTCTTTCATTCACACATCCCCCTCCATAAACTGAGTGAATGTTTCTAGCCGCTTCGGCTGCTGAGTTTCCTTTCTTGAACTCATAAAGCATTATGTGCCTCAAATGATTCTTGGGTACTTCCATGTTAGCAGGGTTTTAATAAAAGAAAATTTAATTTTATTGTTCTCTGAAATAGAATTTGATCAGTTTAAATGCATCTAAACATAAAAATAATGTTCAGCTCCATTAGACATTATAAAATACTCATTAAATTTCGTTCATTTTAACAAAAGTTAAAATTCGGACAGAACTTATGGGATGACCTGATATATATATATATATATATATATATATATATATATATATATATATATATATATATATATATATATTCAAGAGGATAAAATCCAGGTAGAGATCTATGTACAAGACAGAGCAAGAATATAATATAAAAGGCTCAAATTCAAGTAGGTAGGTCTGATAAATTGGGCTTTGATTGCTATTCCAATGTAATAAATTATAACCATCGAATATTAGTGTCTGAGCCTATGATATATATATATATATATATATATATATATATATATATATATATATATATATATATATATATATATATATATATAGTGGATTACTGATACCCACTGGACGTTATAATTCCAGAAGGGTCTTTAGGAAAGGCTGAAGTTGCGTGCTGAATGTAATATTAATTGACAAAACTTTTACTTATATTATATATATATATATATATATATATATATATATATATATATATATATATATATATATATATATATATATATATATATACATATATATATATATGTGTGCGTGTGTGTGTGGGTGAATATGCGGAGTAATCCTCTTTGGAGTTATTTAATTATTGATCTTCCTACAACATGACTCCCAAACCATAGTTTTAGAATCATTAGGTTTTCTAGCTATACAAGGATAATAATTAAAATTTTATTAGATGACATATATATTAAAATTTCATACAGAGATCCACTCAAGTTAGAGGGTTACAGTCGAAAGAGTAATAATGAATGAGGTGGTATCAAAACCTGGAGATTATAATGATAAAAATGATAAACACGCGCAGATCAAAATTAAAGTGTTCAGGTGAGTGAAATCGCGTGAGACTATGGCACAAAGGGTTGGAACTCACTTCTTACTTTAAGAAAACTGAGGAGGAATAAGAGGGATTTGAGCCTGTTGTAATAGTATGACATTGTTTAGCTATAAATATATGAACTACGGGAGTCCATCTTAACTGTGGCTATGGAAACACTGAGTAGCGATAGGGTTTCAACATGGCTTCTGCAGGAAACAGATGGTTGGGTAGAAAAGAAGTTAAACCCCACAAAGTTGCATAAACGATTTTGAAGCATTGATTAGCTTCCACGAATATATGGTAGCAATATTCGATTTTGTAAAGTCTAATCTGATAAAGCGAGAGTCAGAATGATATTTCCTGGAGCAATATCGTGAATCGACCAATTCTCAATAAATAAAACGGGATAGATAGATAGATAGATAGATAGATAGATAGATAGATAGATAGATAGATAGATAGATATGAACAATGAAATAGATCTAAATAGATAGATAGATAGATAGATAGATAGATAGATAGATAGATAGATATGAACAATGAAATAGATCTCAGTAGACTGGCAGATAGATAGATAGATAGATAGATAGATAGATAGATAGATAGATAGATATGAACAATGAAATAGATCTCAATAGACTGGCAGATAGATAGATAGATAGATAGATAGATATAGATAGATAGATGAAATGAACAATCAAATAGACTGATAGATAGATAGATAGATAGATAGATAGATATGAACAATGAAATAGATCTCAATAGACTGGCAGATAGATATAAACAGAGATAGATAGATAGATAGATAGAGAGAGAGAGAGAGAGAGAGAGAGAGAGAGAGAGAGAGACATATAGAGATATGAATAGAGTGAAATAGATATCAATAGACCGAGACAGATAGATATGAACACAGTGAGATAGATAGATAGATAGATAGATAGATAGATAGATAGATAGATAGATAGATAGATCTGAACAGGTTTTGGTCGCTAGAAACCGTGTTAGGGTAGCAATAATTTTTCAACATTGGGTGGGAAATATATCATCCCTCACAAAGTTGTATCAAAGATTTTAAATCATTGAGGCGCTTCAACCCAGATATGGTAGCTATACACCATTTTCGAAAAATCCAATTTGTAAAAGACAAAGCATGTCGGAATGAGTTAGATATTTCCTGGAGCGATATCATGAGTCAAGCGTCTTTAGGAATGAATTCTATTTGATGTTTGGAGTTTGGAAATCTAAACCTGGGACTGCAAGGGAGGAATACTCCGTTGGACTTAATGAACTAGATATATATATACAGGTTTAGATATTGATATAAAGAAAATGAGCGAGCTACTTAACTAGATAGAAAGATAGATATACATGATCAGGTTTAGATAGTTATAAAGATAATGAGATAGATAGATAGATAGATAGATAGATAGATAGATAGATAGATAGATAGATTTTTAAAGCGAGTACATCCCAGGTAAGGCAGTAATGTCAGTAAGAGGTGAAATAGAAAACAAAAACATTCCTTAGGAGCGAGATCAATAGAAGAATAATCAGCAAGACAGAAGATAGCGATTGACATTGCATTTAAATTTTTGAAGATTAAAAAGATTGGAATTGGAAATTATGGACCCGGAAGAGAGTTTCAGAAGCAAGAATTGCGAGAAAAGGATCTGTTAGCATAAAACTGAAGGTTACATCTATCCAACTCAGCTGTAAATTGATAGATAGATAGATAGATAAATACATAGATAGATAGATATGAACAAACTGAGATAGATAGATAGATAGATAGATAGATAGATAGATAGATAGATAGATAGATGCATCCATACATCCTGTAAGCACACATAGGTAAGTTGGTAATAAAACAATAATGAAATATTCAACCTCACTGGACATTAATTTGACCCATTTTTCTAACTACTTGACGTGAAAGCTGTGGTTTTGTTATTCTTTTGATGACCATATTATTTCAGATTGAAAAAAATGAACAAAATGAGATAGATACATATAAGCAAACTACAATAGATAGATATGAACAAATTGAGATACATACATACATAGATATGAAGATAGATCTGTCTCTCTCTCTGTCTCTTTCTCTCTTTCTCTCTATCTATATATATAACTAGCTAGCTAGATATGTACAGAAGGAGATAGATCTGTAGCTATCTACCTTTCCCTCTCTCTTTTTTTCCTTCTCTCTCTCTCTCTCTCTCTATATATATATATATATATATATATATATATATATATATATATATATATATATATATTATGAATAAAAATGATAATAGGAAAACTGGTAATTGCTGACGCGTTTCGTCCAATGTGGACTTTATCAAAGCAAAATACGAAAATGAAATTAAATGAACAAAGTAACTAATAAAACAAAAACAGAATGTACCTAGCAACTGGAATGTAGAGAAACGCTATTTTCATATTTTTTTTTTTTTAAATGAGAAATAACGATTAAATCGGAGAAATTTTTCATATATATATATATATATATATTTGGTTGGATAGATGTAGTTTGTGACCCTGGGTTTCACGCTTTAGCGATCGTCAGACAAGTGAAACCCAAGGTCACAAACTCACATCTATCCAACCAAATATGTTAGCTTTATCTCTGATATTGAGCGCTTTCTAATAAGTACCGCGCATATAATATATAAATAATTATACATATATATATATATTTATTTATATACACTTTTCACATATATATATATATATATATTTTAAAAATAAGTTTTGTGGTACAAAACTTTATGACTGCCATAATGTATTTTCTTTCAATATACATTGTCCACCGTTTTTAGTGATAATTCTATTATAATTTGTCAACCTCGATTTAACTCTGTTGAGCGAGGTTTGAAACTGGTTAGCTAGCTAGTTATTCAGTTTTGCTTTTTATCTATTATCATCATGAGTGGTAATGTCTCCTTCGAAGTAATTCATAGATTGTATCTAATGGAATAAACAGAAAATGAGCAATATATATATATATATATATATATATATATATATATATATATATATATATATATATATATATATATATATATATATATAGAGAGAGAGAGAGAGAGATAGATAAATAGATAGATTTTTATCAGGAATAAACAGATATATTTGAAACCTGGGACTGCAAAGGAAGAATATGCCGTGAGACTTAATGAAGCAATTATTTATTCTAAAAATAATATTTCGTTAAAACTTGCGTTCAAGTCTGATGGACACTGATAGACTCTTTTATGAAGACAAATCGACAGAATCTATTCAAAATACCCACATGGCAGCCCAAATATAAATATAATCCTGAACTTTCGAGTAAAAGACACGGAAATCTCCATTGGATATTATTTTTTCTCTGCAGCAAAAATGTTGTAGAGAAGTGCGGAATCAACGATGTCTTAAGCAAATCAATTTGGATTCTACAGTTTATTGTTAAAAACGAAATTGACTTGAAGAATGTTAATAAAGTTCTTGGTTGCCACGTTAGACCAATTATTAGGTGACTCGGTTATTTAGAGTCAGTTTGCTTTTTTTTTGTGAATACACGTAGCCATCAGTTTAGGTCTTGAGCAACTCGTGTGTGCGGTTAGGTTCGCGTAAAAGGACGAGCACACATCGCCTTCAACATCGATCACGAATATCTGTCTTTGAGGCTCGTCACTGGTTGTCTTTTCTTCGCGAATGGTACCTGCTGATCCCACTGCGGTCTTCGCTCGCTTTTCGAATCGAAACATGTATCACTTCAAACGAGGCGGAATCTAGAAAAATGTCAATAGTCGAGCACCATCTCCCGGCGGGCCTAACATCTGTTTCTCATCCCCGCCATGATCTGAGTGCATATCCTGTTCTTGTCCTTGGAAACGAAACTTTCGTTAAAACTACCCAACTTTCACAAATGGGAATATTTGATTGACAGAAGAAGGATTGGAAAACGTGTAACGGCTCAGAAAGTGAACACCTCAGGTTCGTTACATCACTACATATATACATACATACATACAAACATATATATATATATATATATATATATATATATATATATATATATATATATATGTGTGTGTGTGTGTGTGTGTCGGAGAGGCGAAGAGATGGCGAGGCAGACAAAGCTTGTTGTCCTAAGAATACGCGCAAATGCATGTCTTGCACAAGAAGGCGATTTGTTCTTTGATCAGTCGTTGTTTATTTAGTGACACTCTCGTAGAAAAAGTCTTTATGTGTCGCCGAGAACTAGGAAGAAAAATTACAATTACAGGCAGAAGATTTGAATTCTGACAGCAAAGCTTTGTGAGAAAGTGATAAAAGGGGAGAGAGAAGGCTTTGTGAATACTTCAAAGGGATTTTGTGATAAGCAGATATATAAAAACGAGGTTAGATAGATAGATAGATCGATCGATAGATAGATATTAATACGAAGACAAAGATAAGAAATAGATATTAATAAGATGAGATAGATAAATAGATAGATATCAAATACAGAAATGAATAGGATGAGATCAATATATATATATATATATATATATATATATATATATATTATTATTAGTAGTAGTATTAGTAATCTTATAAGTATAAGAAACTATATTCGTTCGGAAAAGCTTCGGTGTGTTGATTTGCAAATAATCAAACCAATACCAAAGGGAAAAAAAAAGAAAGAACCAAGTACATGTACGTTATCCGAAAATATTCGTCTAGCATGCAAGCCCGAGCCTCAAAAAAAAATATCCCCGATACGAGTACGCAAAATAACTAAAAGCCTTCCCTGACGATCCGCTAAGGTGAAACCGTGGTAGGTTGTCTGGCTCACTAGCATTACTATATATATATATATATATATATATATATATATATATATAATCCTATTAATATATGTCTATCTATCTATCTATCTATCTATCTATCTATATCTATCTATCTATCTATCATCCTATTAATACCAATCTATGTATCAATCTGCCCATTCATATATCTATCGATAATGGTAGATCAACCGATTTGAATATAGGCGTAGACGATATATATATATATATATATATATATATATATATATATATATATATATATATATATATATATATATATATATATATATATATATATACGATATATATATATATGTGTGTGTGTATATATATCATTCTATTATTAATATCTATCTATCTATCTATCTATCTCATTTTATTCATACCTGTCTCATCCTATTAATATCAATCCATGTATCAATATGTCCATCTATATATCTATCTATCGACAATGGTAGATCAACCGATTTGAAAATAGTCGTAGACGATATATATATATATATATATATATGTGTGTGTGTGTGTGTGTGTGTGTGTGTGTGTGTGTGTATACACACAGTAAATAAATCTTAATGAGCTAGGTACTACCTGCCTAGGTTTCACCATATAGTATCATCATGGTGTTTGAAAATTGTGCTATCAAGGGTTTTCCCCCACCATATATATATATATATATATATATATATATATATATATATATATATATATATATATATATATATATATATATATATATATATATATATATATATATATATATATATATATATATATATATATATATATAGAGAGAGAGAGAGAGAGAGAGAGAGAGAGAGAGAGAGAGAGACCGGGTACGATGTTTCTAATGCAAGGAGAAGTTATGCTGCCTTGACTTATGGACAGTCCAGGTACATAGTAGAATAGATATATAAAAATGTTTTTATTGGTTCATTGAATTGTTTTTTTATGTACTTTCAACCTTTGGCTGGAAAATATAAGACGAAATATATTTTAGATTGTGAAGCTATATTTGTCATTCTTTAAATAACAATGCATTATTCAATGTTTTAATTCCTATCTAACACATGGATGCGGGAGAGTAGATGGATTGATATCTTACCCACGGGTAATTCAAATGCAACGAACTCGATTGATATCGAATACATCTCTACAATTTCTCATTTCGAGATGATATATACAAATGTACTATATATATATATATATATATATATATATATATTTTTTTTTTTCGTTTCATTTCATTTTTGGAAGTGCTATCTGATGATCCAGCGTCTTTAAAAGGGCTCTGGTGAAATAAATTATTATAATGGTACCTTAAAGTGGTCTGTTTTTCTTTTAAATAATATATATATATATATATATATATATATATATATATATATATATATATATATATATTTCGGTTATAATTTATTTCGTGAATATTTCTATATATTCATTTCTTAAGACCGAAAAGCTTTTAATAAATGGAGATAATTTCCCCGGACTGAAATATTAGACCTACAGGGGGAGAGACAGAATCTGTTTTTAATTTTTATTGTTTATCTTGTATTATTCTTTTTTTTTTTTTTAAATCCCTTCATTCATATTTGATATTGTTATCATTATTATTTTTTTTATTAAGAGCCACTTTATTAGACTAACTAATTTGAAATTTTGTTGAGTTGTCCTACATAAAATAACAGGCCATATCGGTGAATTTGCTGTATAACCTGGTGTACAAAGTTCCACACTTTAAGGAGAACATTCTTGGCCGGGTCAGTCTATTTTAGGCTTACTACTATCTCTTTATTTCTTCCTTTTTCCCGTTCCTTTCTTTTCCCTCTCCCCATCTCCCTCTGTATTTCACATTTTAATAAGAATTTTACAATCTGTCACTTTACCTCTTCTTTCTTCTTTTCTCTCTTGCTTTCCCTTCTCCTGTCAATTTAGTATATCAGTTCGGAGAAATTGTCTTCATTTATTAAAAGGTCTCGACCTGAAGAGATGAATGTATAGAAATATTCA